CAGAAAATAATGTACCAAACTTAAAAACGAACAAATACTTAAAAGAAATTATTAAAATTTTAATAAAACTCACCATTTGGTATGATTTTATCATTTAGATGATAATCATCAAAATCAATAAATTATTTTAACTAGCAATCTTAACGAGTAAAATCAATAAGTTAATCTTAAGATGTGAAAATTATTAAATTCATGGTTAAAAATTCGCTCTCCAAATTAAAGTTTACGTTGTTGCTGCTGTTGTTTCTAATGCCACTTGCCACACGGGCAAGCCTGCTTGGTGAAACCGAGCAAATTTGAAGCAGAGTGTGAGTTTCTTGTTTTTCAGTGGCGCCATCCTGCGGCCAATAATTCGTCTTCAGCCACACACACGTCACAGCCCGTTTAATAGGGGGGACCCATTCACACATCCATTCATTCATCCACAAATCGCAATTTTCACCCGAATTAAAAAGCAATCGATCTCCAATCCAGTACCCCCAGAGGTTTTGATTTGTTATGGGAACATGGAGGACTTTGCGGCTCGACAGATTTAACGTGCATCAGTCACATCAAGTTTACGTAGTTCTAAAAATAAACTTATAATGCCAGAATCCGCAGCCTAAATTAAAATTTAAACTGTAAATACATGTAAAGTATCAAATTTACTGTGGGAAATTCTGTTATACAAAAAAGAAAAAAAATTACGTTGCATTATTTAAATTATTTATTTTAAATTTCAAAAATCCGCAATTAGGCACTTCCAGAAGAAGAAGATCTCCCCTACCCACACATGTGACCTCTGACGTCAGCACCAGCTGATCTTTATCAGCAAAATGTATTAAAGCTGAGCTAAGTTTCTCTACATAAGTTAGAATGATAATTAACGATAAGTTAATTACAGAGTCTTATCGCATATCGAATTTGTTGAAATATAATGAACTATAATTATTTCTCGTCTATTTCTTTTACTTAACTTATATTTATTATTTGTTTATGTATTTTATTTTAACCGTGATATATCTTTGTTTTTGATATCTGGTACCTTCGATGTATAATTAATTTGTTTATGTTTCACATCGCTTCGCACCTGCCTTTGTGTCAAGTCTCTGTATAACTTTATAGTGAAAGAATTGAAATCTTTGAGAAAGAATATAGAACGTCCCGCTTTAAAGAAGTGGTACTTGGCGGGCTTGGCCTACTCGAAATAGAATGGAAAGAACAGTTGCTAACCTAAACAAATGCCACGTTTCAACAACCAATCAGGATCGATGCACCCACACTACGTTGCTCGTATCTCAACGAAATGGAAGTTCACAACAGCAGTTCCCAATTTTTTCCTCTTGTGGAACCTTAAATGGTCGTTCTTCTTTTGGTGGAATCTTGAGACTTAATGAATAATTTTCACAATTTATCAAATACCTCTGGGACCGCGTATAATCGCAGCAGCATGGAAATGAAAAGGGACATAAAAAATGGCAAACTTTTATGAAATATTCTCACTTTTATCAGGAATATTTAGCAATTAACTTAATGAATAGTAAGCGGCAATCAAAAATATGAAGTGCAGCTTGTCCCGAGGGCTCGTAGGGGAAAAGGGAATTTACAATCCTGCTCGATATATTTTTGTTTCTGACGCTTTATGACTAAGCAGTGAAAAACAACCTTAAACGAAACAATGGCTTTTGTNAAATACTTTCAAAAAAATAAGCCAGCTTTACGTGATATAGAAATTAAACCAACAAGATAAATACTTTTTGAGAAACGCCCTTCTGTGAGTTTCAAGGTTAAGTTGCCACTATTTAATTTACAACCCTCGTATATATATAGTCATGTTATAGCGTGTATATAGTGAGAGAATTGAAATCGTTGAGAAAGAATATAGAGCGTCCCGCTTAAGAGAAGTGTTACTAGGCGGGCTTGGCGTACTCGAAATAGAATGGAAAGAAGAGTTGCTATCCTAAACAAATGTAATGCTTCAACAACCAATCAGGATCGATGTACTCACACTACGTCAGATACGTTGCACGTATCTCATTGAAATGGAAGTTTACAACGGCAGTCCAATTTTTCCCTTTTGTTGAACCTTAAATAGTGCTTCTTCTTTTGGTGGTATCTCGAGACTTAATGAATAAATTTCATTATCAATTGTGAATTGCTGGTTAATTCCATCAAAAAAGTCCTCCAAAAGCAAATTTCTCCCAATGCTTGATCCAGGAGATCCCTTGTATAGGGTTCAAAATTCTTGTATTCTGTATTCACGCGAAAACTAATAAATTTTTAGTTCCAGGCATCAATTGTACTTTATTTAAAACAAAGTGCTACCAATTTCACGAAAAATTTCAATGCATTTACAATCTTCATACTGCCCGTATAAGTTATATTTATATTAATTACTTATTTGCCATCAGGCTGTCTTGTATTATGTTATATTGTTAGAATTTTGAGTATTATTATAATTCACTTTGATATTAATTCATATAAACGTTCTTTTATTCCAACGGGCTAAATGCCAATGATCTCTTATCCATCCAAAAAATCATCATAAAAATATTCTCGACCCCAATCCTCTAAATTTATCTCAACATAATTCACTTAGCCTTCCCATTAGGGTAATTTACTCTCTTTTTCTTTAGTTACAGTTACGGGGCGAAATTAGACTCGTAGCGTTTAATGCGGGGTAAAGATAAACGGATAATAAAAGGGGGGTTTGGTAATTCATATATGATCTCTCTCCCTCTGTACTTCCTTATCAGAGTCTCCAATTACAAAATTTTTGCTCTAATCGTATCAAATCAGATTCTTTCTTCTTTTCTACCACTAGATATTAGAGAGACTAAGGATATAACAGTTATTTTTAAATATTTTCGGACTGTTACACAACTAGAAAGAATCTAATTCAATAACTGTAATAATATAACAAATTTTAGTATAATATATTCTGAACAATTGTATTGGTCAGAAAATAATTATGGAGCAGTTTTGATGTGGTTGCTGTAGTTGGCAAAGAAGTAATTATTTAGGACGAGTTACTGTTATTATTGGCTAGAAATTAACTGCAGCTCAGTTTAGTAATAGTTATTTGGCGAGATAAGTTGCGTGTATTTTATCAGAATTTAAAATGTATTAAAAAAGATAAAAAAGTAGAAGTGCTGAACTTAAAACTACATTTTAATATAATATAAACAACATAGTCGTAATTAGCATCATATAGGGTCCCATATTGGACTGATCGTAATGACACGGTTCCCAGTCAAGCATCACAAGCTGCGGTAAGTAAGCGGGTGGTTAACTACTTTGATCAGCCTGCGTAGGGAGAGAGGATGAGCGTTATCGGTTGGCTCTCGTTAAACTGTTCTACTATAAAAAAACTCGATTTCGTGGGCAGTTCGTCAGTTACCAAAGCAGGGAAGCCAGCCCTTCTGCTGAAAATCAAAATTATGATGGCATGTCTTCGGATCATCTTTAGGGATGCTCCTCAGACCGTCGCCAATAGCCCATTAAGCAACACTAGTGAGACGTAAATAAAATACCTACCCATAGTTTGTCTACCATAAAAACTTCCCCTCCACAAAGTCTGAGGCTGTTTTCTGCTATGGAAAGAACTTATACTTTATTGCTTTATTGAAATTACATACATTTGCAGGTTTGTGTGCTCTATTTAGGCTTATAAGCCTTTGTCAAGAGGAAGGACAGATAGAGCAATTCAGAGAAAGACATCACGAAGAATGCATCCTGGGTTAAGGGCGGGATTCGAACCCGCTACCTCCACGCTTTGCCCTGCTTTTGACGAGCGATACCGCTCGGCTAGGGAGGCCCCAGAGCTTTTGCAATAGTATATAAATATTTCATCGATTTGAATTCAGTTTAGTTCGTTTCAGGTTACACTTCAGGTTTGATATTGAAGCTTATAGGTTCGACAAGTACACAGGAACTTCGGTATTTGAACCTAGTATGTCGTTGATTCCACCAAAGATACCGTAGTATTTCATAGTGTATCAAGGAATTCGTATTGCAATGTGTGCTGTTGTGGGCTAAAACATATCAACGGAAACTTTTTACTATAGTTGCTGTTGTCGCTCATTACATAACATTGAAAATGTTTTGATATGCGTTGATATAACACTATGATGAAACGGTTTAACAATAGCTGCCATTGTAGGTAATTACGTAACAAATGAAATTTTTTAGACAGTTATGGGGGGGGGGTCATATTTAGCAATAAAATAAAAGCGCACCATAATGGTTGTTGTTATAGTTCATTTACGTCCCACTGGATTTGCACAATGGACTGTTGGTGACGGTCTGAGAAACATACCTGAGGATGATTCGAAGACATGCCATCACAATTTCGATTGTCTGCAGAAGAGATGTATAAGTTTAATCACTTTGGTAGTCCGACAACATGCATCCGAAATCGAGCATTTTACGTNTCGAGGACCAATACCGTACACCCTCGGTCCCTACGCAGACTAATCCAAGTGGTCACCCGCCCACACACTGACCGAAGCCAGTGATGCTTGGCTGAGAACCGTCTCTTTACGATCACTGCGGGACACCAGTTTCTGGCTATTAACAGCCAGAAAATTTAACTTATTTCTTAAAGAAAATGAACGACAGAAATTGTCTATTCTATGGTACTTTATTATTAGTAAATATTTTTTTTTTCTTTTTTAAATAGTAAATAACAGATACGATGTCTTTTTTACAGTGTGATGAATGCCACTCTTTCTGGAAATATTTCCTTCAAAACTTTGCTTAGTGAATAAATTATTATACTTCATTACCCTGAAGCTGTGAAATCTGTGAGACTTAATTTTAAAATGTTTTATAAGACTTGAGTATTAATTTTGCTTCCTTTTTGACATTTGATCATTACGAATGCAACTAATATTTTTTTTTAAATCTTAATAGCAAACGATCTTTAAGTCTATGTTTGCATTATGATAAAGTAACATAGAGCAGTAAGCTAGGTTCATTGTGATAGGTCAATGGAGAAATGTGCGTGCATAGCCACATGAATTAATGACAGGGTTAAAGTCACCTGTCACACGTTGAATATTTCATAACGGATTTCGTAGAATAACCATTAGGTAGCTAATTTATCACTTGGCTGTCACATTTTATAGTTTGCAGCAATCATTCTTAAGACAGAAAAGAGTTGACGTTTTACTATAATTAAGTAAATTACGTGATGTGCGTTTATTCTTTTATCACGTCAATTCAAGATTACTTTGCATTTTTAATAATACATCCTGTAGTATAAATGAAGTAAGTTTGTATTATTATTATAATAATTTGTAATAATGAAAGTACGATTCATGCGGAAAATATAATTTAATGTCTGCATGTTTTATACTTTTTACAAGGTTAATTATTGTTGTATTATCATCAATAAACGTGATAGCTTTTAATATAAAAACGTGAACATGTTTTTAAATTTTCTTAGTTTTTTATTTTTCATTCTTAAATTCTTATTTAAAATAATTATAAGCTTTACGATATGAAATAAGTAATAAACTTAATATATAATTTCTGACTTTAGTCTACTTGACTTCGTACTAGTAATCTGCTTCGTTAATTGATCTAAAAGATATCTCAGTTTAGCATCAAATTTCTATAATTATCATTTAAAAAAATACAATCTTACTATTTTCTGGTTTCTCGTCAAATCAAAAAAAAATCATATGTGATTATTAGTAAACAAAGAAGATCCAGACATATTTGGCTGTCTCAGCTTAAAATTAAAAAAACGAAAGAAAAAAAAACGTAATTGTTTATCTGAAAATCATAGTTAAAAAAATCAGATTATAACAACTGCCATTTTGTTTTCAATTGTGGTTCACATTATTTAAATTTTAAATGAAATCGAAGTATTAAATTGAGATGAAATATCAGAGGCTCTTCAATAAGTTTATCTTCAGTTATAAATTTTGATAAAATATTTCAAGAATGTATGCAGGTGCATAGCTGAAAATGTAGAAGCTGAATGGATATTAATAATAAAATAAAATCTGTCTGGTATATCACATTATTTTTATGAACATATTTTAAATATGTTATATAAAATTTTAATTTTAAGGTTTGTGGCAAATCAAAACAAAATATGTGTCACAATTTTTTATGATTTATATTTGATAGTATATTCAAAAAATTTTATAAATTATATAGATAATAGCAAAATTGTTTGTTAGTTGTAAAAAAATATTACATTTATTGGTTACAGTATCATAACATAAGAAAAAACAGTATGCTGATTTTTAGAAGATAAAAACAACTTTTTCACTTTTGTAGGATCAAAAATCAGTTTTTAACGAAAAATTATAACCCTAATGTATCTTTAATTTATATCTTAGTTAATGATATTTATCTTTATTATTTATTTGCTATCCCTTCATAATACTACTCTGTTATTATTGCATTTTTGCTACAATTAAAATTAGAAGTGTTGTTCCATGATTATTTTAAAATAATCGCATGTTATTACCATATAGTGTACAATTTTATGACAAAGATAGTTATCGTTCGGAAATTATTAAACAGCCAATAAATTATGCTTTCATTTGTGGTAAATTTTAGGTATAATTGAGTTCAATCAACGTATGCAAAAAAAATATTGAATGCAAAATAATTAAAGTTATAAAGCAACCATAAAAATTAGTTTTTTTACTACTGATAAGTAAACTCTTAAGTGAAAAATATATATTGAGCATTGATAGAAACAAAAAATAAAATAAGAATTTAAAAAAGAAATTTGTGGATTAGGTAGCAATTGGAACTGAGCAAATTGTCAGTTTTAAACTTTATACCAATGAAAGCAAAAAATAAATTTGTCGAACCAGATTAATGCAACTACAATAAAAATTATTTTTGGAGATCTTTAAAATGATTTTTTTTATACAATTCTATGTAACGTTAAAAACTAATGATGATTGCAAGGTTATCGAGGGGGTTGGTGTACGAAGCGAGCAGATGGTTGATCATGTGATGTAATTTAAAACTTCTGTTTAATTCTGTGAATGATTGATCAATATGTTAGGAAAATTTCATTAAATTATGTGTTCTATGTACAGTGAGTAATGAAAGACACTCTGATACCTGACCTACAAAATATGTGATTCGCAATCTTGAAAATATGATTTCAATAGGTTTTTTAGAAAAAGAGTCTAAAGGTGCACCCCGATATGTTAATTTCACTTGCGTGTTCCCTCATACCTCAAGAACTCTTACAGTAAAAATTTGTCAGGAAAAAAAAAATGGAACGAAATTGGTCGAATGGTTTCTGAGTTATCAAATTTCAAAAAAGTCGTAAATTTAAAATTCGATTTCCCAGGACGATTTTCTCTATCACTAGAACGATTTCGCTCAAATTTCACATTTTGCTATATAAAATTACGTTCTTTAAAATTACATAAGAAGTTGTATTCCTTACGTTAGACTTTTCTCCTATAACTTTTGGGGCCATATTTTAAGAATAAACTTTTACCTTATTCTACTGATTGTGATTGTTACATGCATTTAAATTTGTCGAATAAATGTGTTTGATTTCATAACATAAAATATCGACTGCTCTAATTAATTGGCATATTTGCAGTCACTCCCATAAACCATTAGGATTGAGTCTTAGCACTTGAAAATCAAATTATGATTACGTTGAGTAAAAGTTGATTGAATAATTTCTCTAACCATGTCTAATTCAATTGGTAAGACTGTAAGCGAGAATTGCCGAAAACAATATTCTTTTTCTATAGTAGCCCTTCAAAAAACCCCTTCTTCAAAAGAAACGAACTCAAAAACTTTTTTGCAAGTTCTTATAGTATCTTTCCATGGATGGACAACCTATATCTATCCAAACACTGAATTTTAATTGCATATTTTTGTATTAGCCGCCAGGTGGTCGAGCTGTCAGTAAGCCTGACTGCGAAGTCAATGGTGGCCGATTTGAATTTCGACCAGGGCAAGGATGTTTCTTGCTGTTTGTCAACTGGTGTGTAATGTGAACGGGTCTGTGGTAGCAAAGCTTGGGAATATTACGTTTTTCATTTTGCGCAATTTGCAAAAGCATGGGTGTCATTGGTGTGGANTATGGGATACTTTTTAACTGCCACAGCGTTATCAAAGAATATATAAAATAGGAATTTAAGAGAAAATTGCAGGACAGGAACACTTTAATTGTCCACTAATCTTCAGATTTCCTGCTATGTTTTAAAAAACTTTATTTGTGAAAATCTTTAGCGTGGCGGACAGCTGGCCGCCTCAGGCGGCTAGTTAATAAATAATTAGAAATATCAATGTCAAATAAAAAGTACTATTACAAATCATCTTTGATTACCGTTTATAGTTAGGTTTGTTGTTGCTGTTTCTAATGCTACTTGCCAATATAAAAATCCTGCTTGATGAAACCAACACAATTTAAGGTAAAGGATGCTTTTCTTGTCTTTTGCGGCCAAGAATACGACTTGAGCCACACACTCGTCAAAGCCCGTTTATACGACGGACCCATTCATACCTCCACTCATTCATCCACAAATAGCAATTTCGAATTGAATCAGAGAATGAATAATCTCACTACCCCTCCCCTTATTCACTACCCCTCCCCCAGAGAGAGATGTTATGGGTACATGGAGGATTTTGTGACCCGACAAATTTAACATGCACCAGACAGCATTTACTACACGGGGAGACTGATGTGTGCGGGAATCGAACTCAGGACTTGGACATGGGCCTGACGACCTACTAACTAGGGCAGGGGTGGCGAACCTTTATGCACCAACGTGCCATTTTTTCTAAAAAAATGTTTAATTTGGTCATAGACGTGCCGTCAAACAATTTTGAATTCGTGATTATTGGGAAAATAATAACACTAAATACTATCAACTCAAAACTCTTTATTTACTATGAAAAAGAATACATTTCGCAATGTCTCAGTTACGCGCAATTCAACTTAAAGTAACATCAGTGTAACTTCTGTTGTTGCAGATTAGATGACAAATAACTTATATTATGTTGTAAGATGTTATTTTAAGCTCGTCTGTTAATTTTTGTTTTGCTATTTATTTATTGTTAGCTTGTTTTTTATGGTAATTAATTGTTTTTTGGCATTAATTGTAATTTTTTTGTTAATAATTGTTTATTTCCTTATGTTTGTTTTCGTGAATTTTAATTTAATTGGTAAATTGCTTCACAGTGAACTTCGTGATCGGTGGCGTGCCCAAAATATTATGTGGCGCGCTATAAAGGGCACGCGTGCCATTGGTTCGCCATCCCTGAACTAGGGTATCCCGGCCTAGTTAAGGTTTAAAATAAGCAAAGAAACCCGCAAAAAATAGGAAAAAAAAATAATCGCGTTAGAAATATTTCGCTGATGGAAGAAAAAAATTTATTTTTGAAGAACTATTGCTGCTTTGGATTTCAATTCCCCCCTTCTTAAAAAATGGAATTTTCTTGGACATCTTACTACGTAAGAGATGATTTTGAACTCTTTTCTGAAGCCTGCTCGAACCAACACCTTTTAGAAGAAAGAAGGCCTTAGCACGGATCAATTTAGTAGTCCGACGTAGCGAACAAAATCTGCTCAGTGGTGGTCATTCGAAAGATGTCACGACGTTCGGACGACCGAAAGATGTCTCGACTAAAAGACCGGATTACCCGTTTATGATAACACGTGTGGAGACCTTATTTTTTCTTAGAGGTGTTGCTCGAATTCTGGATCCTCTGGTTCCATTTTAACCTATACCATTCTGTTTCCGAGATTATTGAATTAGTAATTCAGGTATGTGGCAAAATGGCTTCATCACAAGAGCAATTGGATAATTTTGAATTTAGAAAAAAAAAACTTGTCTACGGTTTTATTAAAATAAGAAATAAAATATTGCATGTAACGTAGCTAGTTACCGATTCAGCAAAGGATCTGAGTCTGTTATGACTGTTATAAAATAATATTGGAGTGGATTTTATAGTGGGTGCATAGAGGACTAATACCAGTATAATGAGAGCATATTATTGGTTTTCCCTATTTACTGATGGGACATAAGATGGTGATATTCCACTGTGATGGCAGTTTTTCAAAGTTCCAAATTTTTAGCCTTAGTTTCAGCAGATGCCTGTAAAGTTGAAGACTTCCTGTTTTAGACCAAGAATCGTTCTGACTCGATGCCCACCGTTGAAAACCAGTTATATATTCAAGATAAAGTTGAAATAAACGGCATGAAAATTTCAAGGAAATCATGTTATACTAAGGATATCTTTATTTGCACTCGCAAAAAATTAGC